TTTTTCCTTTTAAATTTAACAGAGGGAGCAAAGATCATCGAGCCTATTTGAAAGGAATTGGAAATCTGATTTATGGAGAGACACACAAAAATCAGACAATTTTAGATTATTTACCTGTCAGCAGACTGCGCCGTTACAGTTGGAATGTTTGACAAGCGGCAATCATTTGTCAAAGAATAGCTCGGTTCGGAAAAAGGAAGAGACTAGAAATGTTTCGAGCAATTTAAGCAGGGCTATTGCATCTGTTTGCTCCTCTGATAGTCTAAGCGAGTGTGAAGTTGCCATTCGTACAATCACGAGAGCTTGGTTGGATTCACGCGGCGATCCTATCATTGAAGACGCATTGTCAAAAGCACCTGTGATTGAGGGAATGCTTGAGGTGCTGTTTGCTTCTGAAGATGATGAAATTTTAGAACTAGTAATATCGATTCTGGCCGAACTCGTTTCGCGAAGCGATCTAAACAGACTGATAGTACTGAATTTTGACCCTCAGCTCGATATCTTCATGAGACATTTAAGAAGCACGAGTCTGTTCTTAAAAGCTGCTGTTCTGCTTTACCTGTCAAGGCCAAAGGCGAAGCAAATGGTATCGGTCGAGTGGGTGCCATTAGTTCTTCGAGTTACAGAGTTCGGAGACCAGTTGCAGACTCTATTCACAGTGCAATGCAGCCCTTTGGTGGCAGCATTTTACCTTTTGGACCAAATCCTTACAGGTTTTGATGAAGACAGAAACCTAGACAACGCGCGACAAGTGGTTTCTCTAGGAGGTTTGAGCATGCTGACGGATAAGATTAAGATAGGAGATACCACTGAGAGGATCAATGCTGCTATGTTCATCTCGTGTTGCATCCGAGCCGATGGAAGCTGTAGAAACTACTTAGCTGAAAATTTGAGCATAGATTCGCTCATCGAACTGGTTCTTCTGGAATATCACAGGAATCCCTGTGGCTCAGCATTTGATTTGTTGATTGAATTAATCTGCCTTAGTAGGTAAATTTATATTCTTATACTTAAATCTACTTTAAAGTATTTTCTTTTGGAAGTTCTTTTCTTATACTGATAAGGAAAATATTCCCAGGAGAACACAGATAAATAAAATCTTGTACATACTCAAAGAAGGCTGGGGTAGTTTAAACATCATGCACATCTTATTAGCCTATCTCCGAAAGGCTCCATCGGAAAAACGCCCGCTAGTTGCGGCCATATTGTTACAGCTTGATCTCCTGGTAATTCAAAATTAATGTTCTTGTAGCGCATAAGAAATTAGTCCTTTTCTAAGCCTTCTAGAAATATCTAGTTTACACCATTTTAATTCCCTTATGGAGTAGCAGCTTTGTTGCAGGAAGATCCTTCAAAGTGCAGCATATACAGAGAAGATGCAGTTGAAGCAATTATAGAAGCCTTGGATTGTCAAATATATAATGAAAATGTCCAAGAGCAATCTGCGAGAGCTCTTCTTATGCTAGGAGGTCGATTTTCTTACACCGGGGATGCAACAATAGAAAACTGGCTTTTAGAACAAGCAGGCTTCAACGAATTTGGGATCAATTCTTACAACAGAACTGAATTTGTAAGTTCTTTTTTTTT